GAGTAGGCTTAAGACGTTCCTCTCTTTTTTTCTGCTCACCACTGTCATTCAGTTAGGGGCTGGACTCAGGTGAGTCCTGACCATCCCTTAGTTATTGCTGCTATAGGCAGCGTGCTATACCGATCTCCCCATGGTGCCACTGGGAGGCTTTCCTCCTCCTTCCTCTCTCTCTCTTTTCTGGCCACTCCATTTTCATGTTGTCCCAGTTAATGCATGTTCCCACCTAACTTGTTAACTTCTTCCCTCGCGACGTTCTCTCCGTGTTCTCCCACTCGTCCTGCAGGTTCCCTCCTGCCATCCCGTCCTGCTTCTGACTCTCCATTGCCTAAAATCACTTGATATTCATTGTCTGTCTATGTTATTATTTCGCTACAGCTGTCGGGACTGGGTTGTCGCTGCTCCCACTGTCCTCCATCGTTGTGCTGTCAATCGTATGGAGAGAAATAAACTGGGAGTGAGTATGTCTGCACCTTCAATACAACCTTTTTCAACATCTTTCACATAGTAGCATGCATATTAGTAGCATATTGACTCTTTATTAATCTTTATAACTCAAAATATGTACCTCATTCTAAAGTGCCTAAAGTCTTGCTAATAAGTAAGAAAGACATTAAACTATGATAATTGGAAGATTTCAACTCAAGTTAAAAACAAGCTTGCCAGTTGGAGTTTGTATTGTAAGGACACTATTAACAGTCTTAAATTTGTGTTTTGACCATAATATTAAGTGTTATTAAGGGAGAATGAGTATTGTTGCCTCTCAAAGCCACGCTGAGCAATGCATAATTCCTGTACAACAACCTTACAATACTTCCAGTCAATACTTCCTTACTTATTATCACGTTACTGTGTATATTATTTTATTTTATTCTATTTTATTACAGAAATTTTCATGTTGTTATACAACTTTGTGTTGTACAATGATACATTTCCTTGAATATGGTTATGCAGAATATAGCATTAATATGTGCTTTATAATGACTAATAAAGAGCCAATAGGCCACTTACACCTTTCAGCTATAACATTCTGAGCACCGACTGGTGAATAACACTGATTATCTGGTTATCAGGGCTCCTGTCAGTGCAGTCAGTACAGTATATCAGGCAGCAAGTGAACATTTCATCCTCAGAGTTGATGTGTTAGAAGCAGGAAAAATGGACAGCGCGCGGGAAAGCCGGACTTTGACAAGGGCCACATGTGATTGGACGACTGGGCGTCAGAGCATCTCCCAAACCTGCAGCTTTGGGGGGATGTTCCTGTCTGCAGGGGAGGTCTAAGGAAGAAAAGAACCGGAGGACAGGGTGGATGGGCTGACCGGAGGCTCATGATTTACGTGGGGGGAGTGGCAAGGCTGGCCTGTGTGGTCAGATCCAACAGATGAAGCCCTACTGTAGCTCAAACTGCTGACAAAGGCAGTTAATGCTGCGTTTCTGATGAAATCGCTGATAAACTTTCTCAGCTGGTCGACATCGCAAGCAGTCAAACACAAATGGAAACTGTAAAGAGGATTAAGGATCCGGGCAGCAGAGACAAGCAGAGTTGCCCTGAAGTATGCTACAGGAATTACAAACCGCTCATAATTAAAGGCCTGCAGCTCAGGATTCTTGATCATGCGGGCCGGTTGGGAGCTGGGAAAGTCCCAGTTCATCAACTCTGTAACCCCAGTGCTTTACAACAAAGGATTGTTTTAACTGGCTTTGGTGGATAACATCTTTGGTGATTATTTCACCCAATAAGGTATGAAGTACAAGAAAATCACCATAGGGCTTTCCATGAGAACAGGCATTCACTTAAAGACAATTATATGATACCAAGCACACCCAACAAAACTTTCAGCAAGTATTATTTAAGAAGCCCAAGAATAAAAACTGGTTCTACACATTTGATATGTTAAATGCATTTAGAGGATTTGCTTTCACACCATTTTACAGAACTTTATATTTATATACAGATTGTGTCTACATTTACAAATTTATGAACACACATATAATGGCAACTGAATACTGCTACATTTACAGATTTGCTCTATACATTTTCAGTTCTGTACTCATTACACATTTGCCCATACACATTTACAGATCCTATATATGTATTTACAGGACTCATCTACACATTTACAGCATTCATTCTACACATTTACAGATTGTCTACAACATTTTCAGATTTATATACACATCTACTAAGTCCCAAACATTGTACACAATAGATTTTGTATGGATTTTATTTTACGCATGTACAGATTCTGAACACACATTTTTGAGATTTCCTGTACCCATGCAAATCTGGATATACCAGATGGATTAATATAAATTTACACAATCTTACATTTGTAAAATAGTTTTGCAACAATAACGTCCCCATACTAAATCACTGCACAAATCTGAACCTTTGAACTGGGAAAACCACTGCACTGCTTCCTAAAAGCACAAAAATATGCAAGGAATTTTTTGCAAGAGTCTTATTCTACTTTCTGTTCTTGGGTGGTTAACGTTGACATTCAAACTAATTCCGCCTGCTTAGTTAGAAAGAAAAACTGATATAAAGTTCACTGTTGCATGGAAAATAAACCTTTTTACTGTATATGTCTGTCAGACTCAGTAGTTTTGTTCTCCTGCAAGGTTCGCAAGTGGCCGCATTAATCACCAAAATTGATATGCGGTTCTGTCTCCTGAAATCAGAGATCGATTTATAAAGGAATGTTTACAAGATCAAGAGCTCTGGGAAGGAAAAGGGTATGTTTTTATTGAATTCATGGGAGTTTGCACAGGAGGTTGAGCCACATGTTAAAAGCCCTTTGTTCTGGATCGGATTTGAACTGAAATTGTGATTTTTTTTTTTTTACGTAGGATGGAACAGCTTCAGTGTAAGAAGTGGGGTATTTCCCATGAACTGCACCTTCCCTGTGAAGAACTACCACGAAGGAAATCGACTCTTCATAATGACATTGACTCACTGCATCCTCAGCCACCTGAGACACATTAATTAACTTCGGGAGGAAGGACTCATCAACTTCAAGCATCAGTCAGAACAGGTTTCCCAGGGACACATATGCTTAAACACAGAAGAAAAATATGGCAGCATTTCAGGATTCACTTTTTGCTGATTTGCTTGCTTGATTTATTTGAATTTGCTTTAGAAACATCTTAATCCCACTGATGTCTTTAATATCTTGAATTTAATGGATTAATACAGCCACAAAAACATACTGTCTTGGATTTCACTGTTTGATTCAATGTAAACATCATATACTTTCAATAAAAAGCTTGATTAATTGTTTCCACACTGACTATTATCATTATTTACAGATTTTTACAAATTTTTACATTTTAAGGTCAAGTTGTAATTTTTGCAGGCAGCAAATCCTCTTAAACGTCTAATTTTGATATATATTTTCATTAACTTTAAGGGTTTAAACAACTTAGTGTTTTAATTACATAACTAGATTTAATCTCTATGCCTGTCCCCACATCTTATTATTATGGGGCACTTCATCTATTTGACATTTCAAAGTTTCAAGTACTACTGTTCTATACATTCAGCTCTGTCAAGTCAAGAAAAATCCTTAATTACATAACTAATTAAATATGTTAATGAACGCACTCTGCTTTTACTGCTTTGATTCTGACCATTTGTTAAAAATCTTGCATGTGGCATAATACTTAATCACCCTCAAAGTGGCCTTCAATTCATTATTAAAGTATTAATGTATAGTAAAGCCTTGGTCGTACTACATCATTTTCGGTCTAATCAGGAGTCTTGAAGTTATTGTCATTTTCACAATGCATGACTGATCAGCAACAGGAGGTCAAACACTACAAGATCTTTCACAACCAGTCTGACTGGTCTCCAAACTACGTTTCATCAGGAGTCATTAATAACACCATTAATAACAAGCACATGATGTTTAATTAGGAAAGTAGTTTAAAAACACGCACAAAGGGCAACCAAGGTTTTTTAAATTAAGATTTATTTGCAAATCTGATTATACACAGATGGATTAATATATATTTATGCAACTCTCACATGAACACACACTGAACCTTTGAACCAAAAACCCTGAACTGTTCTTAAAGCACAAAAACATGCAAGGAATTTTTCAAGAGTCGTTATTCTACTTCTGTTCTGGTGGTTAAGTTGACATCAGACTATTTCTGCTTCTTAAGTAGAAAGAAACTGATATAAAGTTCACTGTTGATGGAAAATAAACCCTTTTGCACTGTACATTCTCTGTTTGTTGAGTGCAGTTATGTACAGAACTTAATGTCAATGTTGGCTACAACAGTTAATGACATTAACTGCAGTTTTGTTTGTATTTGCTCCACAGTTCACAACCTACAAGATCCAAAAAGGAAGCCCAGACTCCTTTTATCCTTTTGTCTTCAATGACATTATGGGCCTGGATGCAAGCAAAGGGGTCCTTGTGGACGATGTGAAACTGACTTTAAAG